ATATTGTTGCATCAGCGAGGTCACGTGACTACCATCACGCCACGTCCTTCTAGAAATATCCTGTTCCTTCATGAATGCTCTAGCGTTTACTAGATATGTATTAGTCTTGTATATATAAAACGGTCACAACGTGACGAGAGTGGATGAGTAATTGAACTGCAGTCAGAGAGAATATTGTTGAGCACGTTAGAAGTTCGTTGTGAATTATAGCGTTTGTTATAGAGCGACTGTTGAAATTAAGTGTATCGCAAAGTTGTATTCAGAGAGAATAAACCAGTTTTATTTAAGAAAGGACTTGTGTCACTAAAGTTTCGTCGGAACGAATTTACGGAAAATTAACTAACGAACGGAGACCTAACAATATGTATAATTTTTTGTCAGTTGAACACACCATAACTATAAAATGAGTGAAAAGGTGAGAAATATTTAACGTGTCGTCTTCAAGAAAACAAAATATTACTAGTGAGCCTATTTTATGCTTGACATAAAGAATATGTTAATATTTCAACAGAGATGCATAATTATTTAAACTTTAATGATGTACATGTAAGTTTGACAATTTAACAAGAATAACTCATTAAACTTCAATTCTTCCAGGAGTTTTAAGGAGTTACGTATCTCCAAATTCTCGTGATTTGAACTAACTTGTTAAACTTTAATGTCACTATTCCCCTTGTCTTGTTTATACTGAAGCACTAATCTCCTAGTTTCAAACTTGTTAAATCGAATTTACTCTAAATTAATAAGCCCAACTTACAAAGTTAGGCATAACCAGTATTTGAGCATAAGCATTGAAACAGACTTCAAACTGTAAAGTACATACTAATTGGTTACCGACTTTCTTTAAGTTATTGTAAAGATCCTTTCGATTCTTTAAATTTCTTTTATCTCTTAGATTCTCTTGGTTTTCAAGCATCTTTCTTGTATATTTCAACAGTTTATTGCAGAAGTTGTTGAACATTAAGCATAATTTAATTTCTCCCATACACCCAGTGCATTCTTCTAACACTTACTAAAAATCCTAGTTAGTAAATCAAAGCATTATGCCTTCGCCTCCACTCCCCTGTGACTCGGCGATAAGTTTGAAGGTTTATAAAGCTAAAATTTGGGGCTTCGATCCCTGCGAAGAGAACAGCTTTTATGGCCCATTTTATAACTTTTCGTTTGAAAATAATGCAAACGACAACATCCAACTCTTAAAAGAATGCCGATTATATTTGCATTTTGTTACATCTGATTATTATGAATTAAAATAATCGAATATTTGTATTACAGTAACACAGGATCCTGCAAACCTTGAACAAAACAATTTACAAAGCACGTGCACTCCGTTTGTTTGTCTTTGTCTGTCATTGTAAAATATATTATAATAATACACACTTTTTGTCTGTCCTGAAAATGCGCATGCGCGCGCACTTCATATCAACGGATGTAAACAAAACGCGGACGGAAATTTTGTACAACAGCATATTAATAAAACTTCTAAGTTTAATTAAGTCGTAGAATAACATCATAAGTTTATTTACTAATATTATTATGTATGGTAAAGTTTAGCTTGAACTAAACTAAAGCAAAAAAAAACGTTCACAAATTACAGTGTTTATTTATCTCTATCGAATATAGGCTTAACTAATGTCTGCAATTGGAATTCTTTTGTATTATTTTAGAAATCATGTATTTAAAGAAGTACTGTTGCAATAAAGATACCAATTTGGCCGCAAATGTTTTGTGGGTCTCTGCTAGTACTAAAATAAATCCAAATAAGTTAAGTTTTGCATATCTTACAATGACTATTTACTGTAATACAACACCTTAACGCCCATGATCATTAAGTGTTTGAGTTTGAACCATATGTTTTTAATAAATATTAACAAGTTGCGTGCATAGAAAGGTATATCAAAGAACTTGCCACGAAATTAAATCCGAACTAAATCGATTAGCTATCTGAATGAGTATCTAGAATGTTTCATTTTACGTATTTGTTCCTGATAACTTTCTACAAATATTTTTAAGAATAATTCAGTAGACATACCAACTATAGGTTTTCTTTTCTTTTTTAAAATATTTATAAAGCTTATGTGTACTTCGAAATAAGATACTGGAGAGTAAATGTCATTAATTGGGAAGTTTCTTTTCCTCTATAAAATTTGAAACTTCGGTGAATGTTATTGTTGAATTTAGTAGGCCTCCAGTGAACCAGCGGTACGTCTGAAGGCTTATAACGCTAAACACCGGGTTTCGATACCTATGGTGGGCACAAGCAAAAACTGAAGTAGAATTATATATTGTTAATTTTCTTTATCGACACGTAGATTTACGCTGTTTTCTTTAGCATGTCTTTGTAAATACATTTTAAATGCAATGTGACCGAAGACAAATGATCTCAAAAAACACATTTTCAGTTTAAACCTTTGCTATTTTTTACGATATTATCATTGCTTCGAACATTTTTAGCTCCTGTCAAGAATGAGCAGAGATTGCATGGACAACCTCCAGAGGACGACAAATGAGCCGTTTTAACGTTTTCGCTATTATAGCACTGTTTTGTGATTCTAATTTTTGAAATATTTGTTATTTATTTGAATAACGTATTACACGAGTTACGACAGAAACAGGAATAAGCATACATCTTAGGTAACAAAAATGAAGATGCAAAAACAAATTCTACAACAGACAAATCATCTATATAAATACATGTCAATATATGTGTGTATCTGTATACGTTTCCACATTTTGTGATCAATCAGCACCAAACTTCACACAGTGATACAGGATAACATGAGAAAGGTCATGAGGAGAGGTTCTATCATATTGATAGAATTCTTTGTTTATTTGAACTTATGCACTAAGCTACAAAATGGGCTATCTGTGCTCTGCCCATCACGAGTTTCGAAACCGGTTTCTAGCGTTGTAAGTCCGTAGATATACCGTTGTGCCACTGGGGGGGGGGGGATAGAATTCTTAAAAACAGTATGTCTTTCTTTTCAGTATTGGTACCTTTATGTATTTTTATTGGTCTTTTAATGTTTATTATGTTAAGGGAAAAAAACGAGTTTTTATTTCACCTGTCCCACAGACTGGTACTCCAGCTAGTTAGGCAATAAAACTAAAGACACATAAACAAAGCCAGTAAGCAGGCAAATGTATTTCTATGTCATGACATACAGGAGCTCAGTTGATATTTAGTTATGATCTATCATTAGGTAGCTTGCTTTGATCAAAAGTTAATATTACTGGTATTGTATCACCTACATTATTTACCCTATACAAGACATATCTATTTATCGTGCAAGACACTGTGCAACTTTTATTGTGAGATAGTGTTTTTCGAACATGTAAATTCGGTGTCCCCCACAAATTCTTTCTCAAGATAAAGCTTTCTTTGGTTTTCTAATGGCCTCCCAAGGGTACAAACATTCAAACAGGTGATTAGAAGCAGTAGAGTTATATCTGTCTTGCAAAGTTTATTACATTCTCTCAGTAAGAAGTCAATCCACTTTATTAGTTTAGGTAGTGATGAACACATAAAACATTATTTAAGGTAAAAGGAACAAATCCTGTCTTAGTGAGATTTGTTTTCTGCAAATTTTGGCAATTTAGTTTGCTCTGATTTAAAGATACCCTGCTGAGAACAAACATTTCGAGACTTTTTGAAAATCTAAAATGACGTACTTATCAAATAACAACGAAACTTATAAATTTATTTTCTTTGATTTCTTTCAGTGATACAGCTATTAAAGCCATATATATATATATATTCATAAGTAATCTGAATTATTGGCATTAACTACGCTCTGACGTCAACCACTAACCATGGATATTCTGTGTACATTTCAGTAATTGTGACAGAAGATATTTAAGCTTACGATGATTTTGTTGAATCTATGGACTACTATAAGTAGATACCATATTCTGCAAAAGATACAGTTCGTTCTTGGACGTAACATCTTTCACATCCAGCCGATCATGCTTGTCGTCCAGAATTTCCAGCTTATGATCTGCCTTATGACATCTTTTTACTGGACATCTATGGGTAAGATTTTGCTATGTCAGTCTTGTCGTATCAGTTGTTACATTCGTGTTCTTTATTATTTCTTTTCTTGTATGTTGTACATTAGGAAACATTGTAGCACAATCTGTAAAGGTTCTTGATAAGCTTACCAACTTACATTGACTGTCTTTTTTTAGGCAAAAGATATTATAAGTAAAAGAAACATAACATTTATTAACAATTGAAATTCGAGATTTAAACACATTATTTTTCATATAATCTTTTAAATTATCACCAATCTTTTCTTTTTTTTTTGGTATCATACTGTCTTTAACTTAAATTGCAAAGTATATGGTGTTCACCTTAATTTTCTTAATTGAAATTACATTCAATCGTTAGGCCGTTTTGTAATTCATCTGTGGGGGTCCTAACTGCAATTTTAAATTTATTATAAAGAAACAGAATTTTATTCTATATTGTTATACATCCTATTTAAATACAGCATGAGGTGAAAATGTTTGAACGGTTGTTGAATTTCGACCAAAGCTACACAAGGGTTATCTACAATAGCCGTCCCTGATTTAGAAGTGGTAGACTAGGGTAAATACCCCTCACCCACCACCAATTCTTGAATCACAATAATGGGATTGACCCCAGTGGCGTAATTATCGTAGGTGCAATCGGTGCAACGCACCGACAGGCCCCTCATATTGCTGGTCCCCAAAGTAATGCAAAAAAGTTATAAATTTCTATACCTATAGCTGATCAGTACGGACAGGCCCCCTAAGAAAATTGCACCGAGAAGTTTGAAGTGTTAAAAACGCCCCTGACTGACTTTCACATTATAACGTCCCCTCAGCTAATACGAACCCGCAACCTACAGATTGCGAGTTAAGTGCCCTAACCACCAGGCTACGTTAGCCCGAAAGTAAGTTTGAAAGATAGTTTTATGGTAAAAGTTGATAGTGGTTTCTATTTCTTCAGTGAGGTGATTTAAACTCAACTAGATTTTATGCATAGAAAATGACATATATATATATATTTGTTGATTGAGCTAACCAATATGGATAACATGATACTGTTAATGTCATTTAAATTCAAAATGTGTATAAAACTGGACTAGCTTTGGAAACCACAGAACACCACACCTCATTCTACGACAAAACGTCTTTCTGGATTATTTACTAAAATAGTTACTGAGGTTTCAAAAATATATGTGTTTTCCGACTTTGACATTTTAAACTCATTTCTTCTCTTTGACTACTAACCAGTTTGATTCTGTTTTTACAATTTATAATCACGTTAACGCTCACATCCCTTTTCAGGTTATGTTGCTAATGAGAAAAATAAGAGGAACGATCCCATTCCAGTATTACAACAAGGTCGGAGTTTGAAACCAGTTAGTGACGAATGGGCGTTTTTTCTCCGAAAGGGGCGATCACCAGTTTTTGATTTCTTACCATTTTCATATCTCATGGTCGAAGATATGCTTTTCAAAAGTTCTGAAAAGGCAAATGATCCTAAGCTCGTTTTACACGTTTTTACTCCAAGAATTGGCCGAAAGAAGAGATCCATGCTCCAAGAACATGGTGCGGACGACCAAACAGATTGGCTTGGCAACTTAGCAGTCGAAGATGGAGGTGTCCAAAATATTTTTCGGCAAGTTATTCCAACTCCCTATGTTAGCCGCAAAATTTTAGATGGTGATAGCATAGACGAAGTCAAAAGGGTCTTTTTCACCCCCCGGATAGGGCGTGCGCCATTTATTCCTCGAATCGAAAGAGCAAATCCAAACAAATCTTCTGATTTTGCATTAATTCCTCTTACAGGCCGAGCTCCATATATTTCCAAAATCGGTACAATGGACAACTGAGTTTTCAAGAAAACAAACGAAATTTGATTTCAATACACGATTTATGAATGCATGTTTTAGTATTTTGTATCAATAATGGTATTCAAAACTAAATGTTAAAACCAGCACTAAAGAAAAATAATAAGTGTAATTGTATATTACACATCGCAAAAACAAAGAATAAAGGAATTTATGAAGCAAGTATAATTATGTTTTGTGTGTATTTAGATTACTGAGTATTTTACTTCTGAAAACAAAACATGAAATACAAGTGCTATTTATACAAAAACTGTCTAACGTACAAGCGATATATTGAAAACTGAAGCACAAAACCAAATTATTTTCTATCTTAAAATTTGATATTAAAGATTTTAGAATAAGTGTTAAACAGCTTAACTATAACCAATAATTGTTTCATACAAAATTTTCGCAGAAATTTTGTTCTAGAGCAAAACCCCATTGGGCTTTGTCCACAGCGGTGAATCGAATCCCAGATTTTAGCGTTGTAAGTTCGTAGACTTATCGTTGTCCCATTGATAGACATTCGCAGAAAGTTCTATACTGTGTCAAAAGCTTATAGATATTTTATATTTTTCACATAATATTAAACTCATACCATGTTGTGGTAGATTTGTGCTTCTTCTTCCTTAAAGTAAATTAAATTACCTTTTTTAAAACAACACATTGACAAAAATATATTGATACATCTGATCAAGCTCACACTTCAATATAAACCCGCATGGGCACGGGTTAGCCCTGTGGTAGACCTCTGGATTTTGAAGCTGGCGAGACGTGTCTTAATCCGTGCGATAACATAAAATACCTCCCTCCCCCGCTTTTAAACTGTGGGTGCGTTATAAGAGTAACAGTCAATCTCTTTAAGTGGATGATGGAAGATAGGGTACTGCTGACTGGCTACCTTGCTACTGGGCAGTAATTCGAAGTTAGAAACGGCGGCAGGTAGTCTTAGTAATTTACTAAATTCACATCAAAGAATTATTTTCTCCTGCTCTTCGTCAGACGGAGAGTGTTTACTAGAGCTAATCTGAAAATTAAATCTTGTGGATTTGTCTTCACAGTTACAGAAAACGACTAGAAAATTGTTATTTTCTCTCAGTTTTTAATTGCAATTAAGACATGGTTGTTTATAATTAAGGACAAAGCTACACAATATCTACACAACGGTGATCGAAACCCGGCTTCTAGCGTTGTAAGTCCGCAGACATACCGCTGTGCCACTGGAGGGCAGTTTAAGACAACAAATATACTTAGAAAATCATTATTGAATGCTTCAAATATAGCAACTAACTGTATTAACACTACCACGTATATTCTGATTTTAAGAAATAGAAAAATAATAATGAAATATATTGTTCCATGAAACAGTACTTATAAAAGCCCATAAGTACACACATATACATAACTGTACTATGGGATTTGCATGAATCTTTTGTGACATTATTATAATTATAAAATGTAAACATTTCTAATTAAAACCACAAACTCGTTTCAGCTTATGTTAACCAGTACTATCGAAACGACGAGATATAAAGTGTGTATTGTTAGTTGTCAGTCATTTCACCATTTTAGCTCTCTTTCGGGGCCGAGTGCAAACCAATGGTTGGTGTGATGGATTGGCACCATTTTAGCTCTTTCTCGGGGCCGAGTGCAGACCAATGGTTAGTCACCCGTTAGTTTACTGGATTGTAAATATGCGGATCCACAGTTCCGTCTTATTGCGAAAAAAATCACGCTTCGCACTTTGGGTATATTATAACATTGACGGTCAAATTCCACCATTCGATCAGACAAGAGTAGCTCAAGAGTTGGCGGTAGGTGCTATTAACTAGATGCCTTATCTCTACTCTATCAGTTCAGAATTAGGGGCAGCTAGCGTAGATAGTCCTTGAGTAGTTTTGCGTAAATATCCGAAAACACACAAACAATTTTACCTCAATCATTGATAAACAGGGATAGAAATAAGAAAAAAACACACTTACATGATGTAAAATAACGTACAGTAATAGGAATATTTAAAAGAACACAACGCTGATATACAAATAGCCCCCACCCCCACAGTGGTACAGCGGTATGTCTGCGGATTTACAACGCTAGAAACCAGCCGGATTTCGATACCTGTGGTGGGCAGAGCACAGATAGTCCATTGTGTAGCTTTGTGCTTAACTACAAACAAACAAATACACAAACAGAAGAGACACAACCAACTAGATGGTGAATTTATTGTCACAGCAAATATATAAAAAAGCTAATAAGTTGTACAAAATGCCAGGTTTTGAATGTGAGCCATTTTCTTTCAGATCATTACATCTTCTTTTGCATGCTGCCATTTAGCTTATCAATGTACATTGTGAAATATTGCCCTGTATTACTCTCAACAATTCAAATTTTTTCGTCATCTTTAGACCTTCTTAGTTTTTACGTAAGTCCATACAGCCAGAAGAAAGTTCACAATGGTACTTTTTGCAGGCCAATTTATAATTTTAAGTGTTCTAATGGCCTCTTGTTCCTTTCAAGTATCGTTTCACCACATGTCCTGATGATTGAAAACATTATATTGCAAGAATAAGACCCCCATACATGATGAGCCTTTTCTCGAAGGAAATGCATTATTAATTTTTATTTGTCAATGGTGTTATCAGTTTTGCGTATATTACCAATCCATTGATTTACATGAGGCCCAAACTTGTACAGATCTCCACCATGCATAGCTGTAAATTTGATACCGATCTTATCTCCACCGTAAACAATCTGTTGTTGTAATATCAGTTTTTCTTACTTGTTTCTGCTCGGGTTCGAGCCCAAGACCTTTGATACATCAGGCGAATGTTTTATTAATTGAGCTAGAAGGGCAATATCCTTGTATTTCTTAGTAAAGTACTTTTGTTTCCAAGAGTTAAAATTACCACAATATCTGCATAAATTAGAGGGATCAGAAAGAGAGAGCATTCAAAAACATTAAAATTCCATAAAAAAGAAGACAATATAACTCATTGTAGCCATTTTCATTGTGTTAGATCATCTCAGTGATTGGCAAACTCACATGTGACTGATCTAACTTAAACCAGTGAAAGTCCTAATATATAGGTTTAAAACATTTATTTTGTTTCTACTCAGTGCATAGAGTGTCCTAGATGCCATGAACATGTTGTAAACCAATCTTCCAGTGTAAATTAGTGTCAGAATGGAATACAGCTTTATGGAGGAAGATTTTTTATCAACATACTAACAACATTTTGGAAGTTTCAATATATCTGAATACAAGTGTGTGGCGAAGTTTTGTGGGGGTATGCAGTTGACAAAATATAGCCTAACAAAAGGAAAAAGAAGAAGATACAACAAAGTCAGAATCAATAGTAGTATCATTGTTTATATTGTTACGACAGCGGAAGTCACGTGATGCTGGTAACACGTCATGAGTTTCTAGAAGGATCGTGACTGTTCCTGGCAACTCTAGTGTTTGCCAGACGACCTCTCTTTTTGTATATAAGCCCTGAAAAGAAAGCGGAGATATAATTGCAGATAGACAGAAAATTGAGTCAAGCGAGCGGTAGTGACCGTAAGTAAAGTACGCGAATCGTTGTGAATTATAGCGTGTGTTGAAGTTAAAGTGACCGTGGAAATTAAGTGTATTGCAAAGTTGTATTGAGAAAGAATAAACTAGTTTTATTTAAGAAAGGACTTGTATCGCCGAAGTTCTTCGGAAAAATTTTTTTACGGGAAATTAACAAACGAACAGAGACGTAACAATATGATTTTTTTAAAGACCCTAAACTTTAGCGCTTTCGAATAGTAGACTATTCTTCTTCGTGGTTTGTATGTACGGGTGCACTGGTGAAAACGGCCCTCTTTTAACTGAAAATTAAAATATTTTTTGGTTTAAGAGATATTCCGTGTTTGATCAGTTTGAAATAAGCACTCTTGCATTGAAGTTAGTTTTTACGTATTAAATAAATTCGCAGTTTATTCACTCCTAATTTTTAAACTTCAAAGATTTGACATTTGTGTTATGCCATTTTACCTGGATTAAAACGCATTAAAAGGGATCAATGTTTTCGAGAAAAATTAAAAAGAAAATTCAGAGCTATTTTCATTATTAATATATTTTCTTTTTGAAAAAGATTTTCAATTTATTAATATATATATATATATATGAAGCCCAGTCTGTGCTGTCCTTCTTCCCATGAAATTTTATGACGTCACAATATTTACTACAACCTTTAGCGCATGGAGTATGCAAAGGGAGACGAAAGTTTGTTTGTGTCACGCTGATTGTGCATCTGGATGGTATGATCTATGTTTTTACTTTTATGTAGATTTCATGAACTGAAACAGATCATTCATTTGTTTGTTTTCATACGAAAAGGTTTGGATTGGAGTAATTATTATAACTTAACTTTAAATTTTATTTGTTTGTAAAGTGTTAGAAGTAGAATTTAAATTACATATATATTACATTTAGTTACAATATCTTTAATATATATAACTTGTACTTGTAAGTTCTACTAAACCACTAAACAAACGTTCAAGATCAAAATCAAAGCAAAAACTTGGTAATTCTATAACATAAGCTTAATTATTATAGTTAATACTATGACTAATAAAGTTTCACCATAAATACCCTGCCTAAACAATCTATCAAAGAATATTTATCTAGTAGTGGTATAGTATTGATGTAGGTTATATTATGTGGCTTGCACTTTTGCAGTGCTTGGTGTTAATATTAATTATTATTACTATGTAAACTGCGACCGTTTTTTTTTGTGTGTGTGTGCTTAAGTTGTACCAGTAGTAATACTACAATTATATGAATTATTACTACTATTGCTAGTGAGTAGTAATACCACTAAGGCGACGTCTGCTGACATGAAACTTTCTACATTGAATCTTGTGATAAGACTTGATATAAAAGGTAAAGAAGAACATGAACTTTACACTGATAATAAATTTAACCAAACATTTTTTAATATTACCAAATTACTTGTAAAAGAAACGTATGGTGGTAAAAACTAAAATTCCTTTTTCAAAATGTTTTTGTTTTTAAATTTATATTAAAATATTGTTTACATCACGCTATTAGAAAAAATTCCTATGATTGAAACTGATACAAGTAAAATTTGTTTTATTTTACTTAAAATTTATTTTTGTCAGTCGTGTTCAGTGACTATGTACTATATGGTGAATTTTAAAATGAATAATACTCCAAGACTTGTATACTATAAAATAGTTTTAATTTCTTAATCTTGAAAAGCTTTAAATTTGCATCTGTAAGTTGTATGTAGTATTTTACAAGACAAACATTAAGCTTTATATGTATGTTGCAGTTGAACTACATGTACTTTTTTTTTTTATTCTCTCCATTCCCAACCACAAAGTTTGAAGTTTTTGATAGGAGGGGGAATTAGAGTTATGACATCCATTAATCTGTAGATATTTACTTTGTGTGCAATAACTAGAATTCTAAACTGCATATTTTAATCAATCAGCATGTCACTTCCTATAGTGATTGAACAATCCTATTGATTTTGGAGATAAAAGGTCAAGGTCACAATGTCAAAAAATTTGTTCGTTTTTTTGCAAATAAAAGAAACATAATCCCAAAATACTCAGACACAGTCACCATATTTATCAACACACCAAAACTAAATAAAGCTACTGGTTGAGGGAATCAATTGATCCATTGATTGTTATTTTTATTGTTAATATAACTTTAATAGTTGTAAACAATTTTCTATGCTAACCATTATTGTGAATATATAATTTTTTAAGTTTTTTGTTGTTGTTTTTCTACTTTTTAAAATTCATACAAAATGTTAGAAAGTATCAGCATTGTTATTAAATATCAGAATGCAGTAAACATTGTATAGCATTTACCAAATCAATATAATAAATTATGTGACAAAGGCTGCATTGTTTAAAATTGATTGAAAATTATAAGAAAAGTAAAATATAATTATCCCACAAAATCTCAAGTATGCAATGCATTTATCAAAAAAAGATTAACCAGGGCAGAAATATTTTAGTAATACTGCATTGTGTTAATCTGTATTAGCTACCATGTAGGAGAGTAATCAGTAAGTTTAGCATTAAACTGGTTTTTATTTGAAGTTGCTGTTAATTTTCTTTTCAATACCAAGATATTCAATACTTTAACTTTGTTTGTATACAACATTCACTACCTTGTGATGAGTCAAATTGGTGATGATTCCATGATAAGTGATAGGTGATATAGAGTGTAATGTTAATTTAGGAAAAATCAATAATTATGTTTTTGGTAGGATACCCTTTGGATGTGTTTGCCACATTACTCACCAAAATGGTGCACTGCCAGGCTGAGTAAGACATTATTTTCTCTAGTAACATATAGGTATAATTTAATCATTTCTGATTTATTTCAATTCGTACTTTATTTCAGCATTTGTGTAATTTTTTTTAATATAAGAACATAAAATGCAAAGTGATAGAAGGCCATTTCATACATCAAAATCAACCTTCAAACAACAACAAAATTTAATTTAATTATGTTAACATCATGGATGGCACAAACTTCAAGGTTATTGGAAGTAAGGAGTATGTAAGCATGCTATGTTTCATCGGATTGATGATTGACATACTGTGGTTTAAAGAGAACAAACAAATGCTCCAGCATTATGACGTCAGTAGTGTTAAAGTTGAACCATAGGAAAAATAATAACAGCAGTTTAACATCTAAAATGTTACCAATCAATCTTAAGCACTCCAGAGCTAATTGCATTAAAAGAAATAAAATTGGATAACAGAATAAGCATTTTTAAGGCAGACAAAAGGGTAATGGTGTCATGGTTCTAGATAGAATCACTTATGGTGATGAAGTAATGGAAATACTGTATGGTCAATTCTGATTTAAAAGTCTCCCTAACAAGCTCACTTAATGTAGAGAAATAATGTTAAATAAGGAATCCATAATCTTATGTATCTCCCAAAATACATAAAGACAATTGCTCCTTATGACCAATTATATCAGCCTATGACAGTTTTAGCTATGATGTAGATAAATTTCTGGTCTAGATATTTTCACCCTATGCTAATGAAATACTTGTCCTTTTTAAAAAATGCAAAAACATTTGTCCAAAAACTAAAGAACTTTGAACCCCATTGGCCATTTGGTAAGCTTTGATATAACTTCCTTATTTACAGAAGCACACTTGCAGAAATCATGCAACATGACACCAGAATCTTTCCCAAAGTTCACTCACTTGTGACTTAGCCAAACTTTTGAATTTATGATAATATTAATTTTCAATACCAAGATAAAAATTTCATCTGAGTTGAAGGCATTAGTATGGGTAGCCCTACTGCCCCGTCTCTTGTTAATGTGTTTATTACTAAACTAGAGCAAAGAGCTCTCAGTACATCACTACATACACTGTGTTTTTAGCTTTGCTACCGTGATGATACATTTGTTGGGCTAATAAGATCCCAGCTCATTACAGTCTTTCCATAATCACTTTAATGAGCTATATCCTAATATTAAATACACTAAAGAAGAGACGAAGAATGGTTCTGTTTCATTTCTTAATGTTTCAGTAACCAAAAAACAAACTTTCATTCTTTACTGTAGTTTATCAAATAAACACCTGCACTAATCTGCTTTTTTCCATGGTCATCAGCACATGGTTACAAACAAAAACTGGGTATTATTAAAACACTTTATAATAATGCAAAAGCCATCTGTAATACTCCAGATAAACATGAAAGAGAAAAACAGCATCTGCTGGAAAGCTTCACCAAAGTCAGTACCTATCTACACGACATGAACAAACTCGTATCCTAGACAAGACAAATAATAAACTAAATTAAAATAATTTTAAATGCTAAAGCCAGCCCTTATCATTCATATACTTATCAAGCTTTTTCTTAAACTCACTTAAATCTACTGCCCGTACAACATCCAAAGGCCAACCACCCTGTTAGAAAAATAAAACTGTCTTAGCTGAAGATGACTCCTACCCTGCCAAAATTTATATTTGTGTCCCCTAGTCCTACTATTCTCACTGTTAAATATGAAAAAAGATGATGTATCAACATTATATATTCCATTTATAATCTTAAACACCTCAATCAGATTCCCCCTAACTCTTTCTTTTTTCAAGAGAAAACAATATGAGAGATTTCAGCCTCTTATATGACAACCCTTCCATCCCAGGCACCATTTTAGTAACCCTTCTCTGAACCCTTTCCAACAATTCGATGTCTTTCCTACGGTAAGGAGCCCAAGACTGAACACACTATTTCAAATGTGGCCTAACCTGTACAATGAAATTATAACCTCTATAGACTTGTTTTAAATATTCCTGTAGATACAACTTAAAATCCTATTTGCTCTACCACTAGCAACAGCACACTGCTTGGATGGCTTTATAGAGACTGATCGACTATTACACTAAGATCCCTTTCCTTCACAATACTGTTCATTTTATTACCATCCAAATTATACTTACAACTCAAATTATGATAACCCACATGCATTATCCTGCATTTATTATAATTAAAACCCATCTACCATTTATTTACCCAACTCACTAAATTATCTAAATCCTTTTGTAAATCAGCAGCATCCTCTTCACAGCTAGCAATACCCAAGACATTAATATCATCTCCAATTTAAGTAACTTATTGACTATTCCTTCATCTATGTCATTTATGTAAATCAAAAAGACATTAATTCAGTTTGACTGAACTCCATTTGTAACAACCCTCTGCTTTCTTCCATCCAACCACACCTCTATCCAGTTTGCTAACTTATCCCCACACCTTTTAGAGCTAATTTTTTGACAAGCATTTTATGTGGCACCTTGTCAAAAGCTTTCTAAAAACCCAGATACACCAAATCCCTCATATACATAAGCAGTAACCTTTTCAAAGAATGTTAAAAGATTTGTAAGGCAAGATTTTTCCTTAGTGAAACCATG